CTGGCTCTGCCCCTTCTCTAAGCCCCAGCTGCCCCACCCTGGGGAGCTGCCTCTGCCCTGTGCTGGGTGGGCTGGGTCTCACCCTCCTATTCCCAGAGCTCCCTCTGCTCCCCCTGCCCCCGAGCTCCCCCTCTCTCATCCTGGGAAGGGTCAGCCCTCTGCTTCCTCCAGGGGGGAGCTGTGTCCGCACCTTTTCCCTCCTGGTGCTGAGCGGCCACATCCACACACCCTGCCCCATCCAACCCAGACAGGCAGGCTGGTGGGGGTGCGTGTGCCAGCCCTGTCACTGCTGTTCACTCCTCCGGTTCCCTGTGCTCTCCAGATCCGGCTGATGAAGGGCCAGAAGCCCTTTGAGGACTCCATGGGCTTTGACGGCATCCACATTGTGAGCCATCTGGCGGTGGACGAGGACTCGCTGCACTCCTCAGACGAGGAGCTGCTGACCAACCCCATGGTGGTGGGTGCCCTGCAGGACGTGCTGTACCCGCTCTCGCCTTGCAACGCCCGCTTCCTGCGGGGCCCGGAGAGCTCCGGCAAGGAGAGCGACGGCTCCACAGACAGTGAGCCCGAGGACCCCCCCTCCGCTGCTGAGGCCGACGGTGAGATGGAGCCACAGAGCATCTTCGGAGAGACCCTCAGCAAGTGAGAGGAGATGCCATTGCCAGGGGATCTTGCCCTCCGCCGAGTGGGCCCTGAGCGGGCTGCCCAGAAGGAAGAGACTCCTCTCCTTGGAGCAGCAGGTGAGGGAGATCAAAGACCCACCACGGCGGCTGGGCTCAGAGCTCTGCATCTCTGTTGCCAGCGGGGACAGCTCTCCAGCCAGCCTGCGTTACACAGAACATCTACCTTGATTGTTGTCTGCACTGCCTTTCTCCAGCGCTGTCGTCACCCGTAGTTCCACTCCAACTCCATGGCGTAGCCCTCATTCCCCTGCCCCCAGGGCCTCCTTGGTTTGCCTCCCCCACAAGTTCGCACACTCGAGAACTCAGCCCGGTGTCATGGTGAGCGGGGGGTGGGCGTGGCTGTGGGCACCTGGCCGACAACCGTCCTCCCCCCCATCCTCCGCCTCGCGCCGGGCCGGGAAAGTGAGTCCCTCGTCCGTTATTTAAATGAGTGTCCCCAACAATCCCCAGAGCATCTGCTTGGAGAGGGGAGAGTTGGAGGCCTCTGGATCCCTGTTCCCCAGGACGGGAGGAGTCTGGGGCGGGGGATTGTGGATCGAGGAGCCTGATTGGTGACATGAGAGATGAGATTTTATTTTTGTTCTCCAGATATTATTTATTTAAAATGTTACGATGCCAACGGGGCTCCCCTCGGGGGGCTCCGCACTTAGCTTTACATATGTCACAAGGGAACCTGTGAGAGCAACATTCTGCCCTGCCGTCCCCCTCCGTAATGGAGCTGCACACCCAGTCTCCTGCACCATTCAGGTCTCCAGAAGGTGGCAGAACTACTGCCTTTCTCTTCTGCTCCATCTGGCAAACAGCAGGGTTTCCAGCTAACCTCCTTGTCTAGAGAGACTTCTGTGGAAACAGATCCTAAAGGAGAGCCACCCCTCACTCCAGCCAGATCAACACGTTAAACCTCGTCTCCCTGCCAAGGTCTGCCCAGCGCGGGTGAGCAGGAGTGGTTTGGGGAGGGGCAGAGAGAGGAGTCCCCAGCTGGGAATCCTCTGGAGGTTTGTTTCTCTGCATGGTGGGGCTTCCCCTTCCTCAACCAGCCTGGCCTGGGTTCCTCTGACCCAGCTCTGCAGCTGGCACCGTGGGTCTGGACTGTCTCCGTAGTCCTGTGAGGTTTGGCCCGACAGATGGAGGGCATGCACAGCCCTGTGAGCCCTGGCCAGAGGATGGAAATGCCCCTCCTTGGAGCGTCCCTTACGGAGGGCTCCGCAGCTGCTCAGAGAGACCCAGGCCAGCTCTCTCCACACCAGGTTCCTCTGACCCAGCTCTGCAGCTGGCACCGTGGGTCTGGACTGTCTCCGTAGTCCTGTGAGGTTTGGCCCGACAGATGGAGGGCATGCACAGCCCTGTGAGCCCTGGCCAGAGGATGGAAATGCCCCTCCTTGGAGCGTCCCTTACGGAGGGCTCCGCAGCTGCTCAGAGAGACCCAGGCCAGCTCTCTCCACACCAGCCCCCCTGAAACCTGTCCTGGTGAGCAGGCAGCAGGGGAAACAGCTTCCTTGGGACGGACCCAGTCTGCAAATGTGACCCCCATGAAGGACTTTTCCAAGAAAGCGCTGCCTGGGGTGCTCCCCACCGGGGCTAGCAGCATCGTTCTTGGTAGATGTGGCCATCAGGCATCACTTGCATGGAAGAGTCTTGGGAGACCACCAAAGGCAGCCAGCATCGCTCTCCTGAAGACAATGACACTACACCCATGGGCACCAGCACAGCCCGGGCTCTGCACCTCTCACTACAAAACAGTCCAGATCGCGCTTCCGTTTGTTTGCCAGACTCAGGCTCTGTCCCATCGCTCCCTGCCTCGGGCCTCACCTCACTGAGCGACGTCATGGAGCTGCAAGCACCTGAGGCTGGCGTGTTGGTTCTCGTCCACACCTGCTGTGCCCCGGCAACGCGCCCACTGGGAGCAGCGAGGTCCCCAGGATGGGCTGCTCGCAGCAGGATGGAAGATCTCGGGCGGCGGGGATGAAGACCCATCTCTCAAGCGCTTGCATGGCAGGGCTCATGCAGTGCTGGGACATAGCAGGAAATTGTCATGTCCAGGGAGAGGGACGGAGGCTGCTGGGCCCCATGGACTCAGTGTTGTCCATGGGGTCTGGCTGTTTTGTTTATGGGGCGCACGGGGCGATCACAGCCCCTGCCTGCTCCAGCAGAGAGCAGCACGATGGAAGGGATGGGCAGCCGGCTTAAGTGACCCAGCAGTCCCTGATGTGCTCCAGAGAATGGTTTCATTTCCTTGGGCCCTTCCCGTCTTTCCTGTCCTGCCCCTGCTTCACCCCTGCTCTGATTTCTGTCTGCTCTCTGCATGCAGCAACCCCCGAGAGCCAGCAGCTGGGGGACACCCTTCCCCTTGGGTGGCTTTGCCTGGTTCCCTAAGGCCTTCTCCAGCCGCTCACACATCCATTGCCATGCACTCCGCCGCCTCTGCCAGCAGGCATTGCCAGGGCTTTTCCCTTCCCTGCGGGCTGCTGCAAAGGAGGGAAGCCTTGGACCACCCAGCTCGGCAGCACCTTCCCCTTTCGGAAACCAGCAGGCTCAGTGGACCCGAATGCCTGCTCAGAGCCCCTCACCTTCCCACCGCGTCCTGGGCTGAAGTATTATGTAGACTGAGATAAATATGCCTGGAGAGGCATTGGTTGGGTATTTATAACCTGTATATTTTAATATATATATATAATATATATAGCTGCTGCACTGTATTGCCAAATTCTTGTGATACTCCCCTCTCCAGAGAAGGCACCCGCCAGAGAGCCGCTGCCCT